CTAGCCCTCGTCTAATCACATACACAATATCCTCAAATAAATAATGGCTCTCAAAGGCTAGATTAAATCCCCTTCTACAATCCCTCAGAAGGGTGAAAGACCATTTTACCCCTCCTTGACCCAAAAGTCCAAATGTTGACCAAAACCCTAAAAGTCAACGAAAGTCAACGGTCAAACTTTGACCCGACTCGTCGAGTGCACATGGGCGACTCGGCGAGTCCATGCGGGTCCTCTGAATCCTTCTAGCCTCTCTTGGCTCGTCGAATCATCCTTCCACTCGACGGGTTCCTCCTGTCACGAATCGCGGGGCAACCCCGACTCGACTCGTCGAGTCCCTTATGGACTCGGCGAGTTCCTCCCATGAAAACACTCAAACGATCTTTTGAGGTCAGATCTGCTTCACCAACCAGTAGATCTAACCTTCTAACACTCGAAAGTCACGTAAAGGTTCAAACTTTACGTTCATGCAATGCTTATAAGACCAAAAATGGAGAAATAACCTTTAAAATGGGGTTCTACTCTCAAGGCTCACATGAAACCTCATAAAGCTGGAAGCTTGGGACCTTTTGGACCTCTCAAGGTCCAGATCTATCATCTATACCCAAAGGGACCTCATATGCTTCACAATCTAACTCAAAATTGTGCAAAGGAAACCCTAGATTCAAGGAATCTATCAAATACACGAAATGGGAAGGAACTTGTACCTCAAAACGTGAATCTCAGTATGAACAACACAGATCCAAGCTCCACAATCGATCTAGCTTGGATTTTCCCACTCCTTCTTGCAAGATCACACCAAAGGATGAAGAATTAGCCTCCAAATTGCTCTCTAAGCTCTCTTTGCTCTCTAGGGTTTTCACAGGGGAGTAGTGGCCGCAAATGACGGCCATAAGGGCCTTTAAATAGGGATCAGGCCCTGAGATTTAGGGTTTCACTTTACAGCGCGGACTCGCCGAGTCCACTCATCGACTCGTCGAGTCCGGTCATTAATCCAGACAAGAACTCTTGATCCTACTCGGCGAGTCTGAGAGTCTACTCGCCGAGTCCCTCTATAAAACTCAAGATAAATAATTAAAATAAGATACATGGGAATCCGGATGTTACAATGAGTGGGGTGGGTGTCACACCCCAGAACCGTCGGAACGGACGGCGGAAACGTCCGAGGACGGGGTGACGTCATACGTAGTATCACAACAGTTGTATCATAGTAAGCGAAGTAAACACAACCATTACATTATAATATGAATATTTACATTGTTTGAAAACATAGTTTGTTCATAACAGTATATAGCAAAAATAAAAGACGTGACTCCAAAAATGCTCCGTCTTCTCCAAAAGGTTGCAAGAGTACCTGTCTATTGTTGCCCTGAGAATACAAGCAATTTTAAAAATATCAGCATAAAGCTGGTGAGTTCATAAGCGTCTATTTCTGGTAAAAGAGATGTTTCTTTGAGCCTTTGAAACGTGTTTCCCAAGAAAATCCTGTATTTTCTTATGAAAAATGTTTGATTAACCATTAGTTGCATGTTAAACGGTTCGTTTATGAAAGGTTGTGTTCTCCCAGGAAAATCCTATATTTTCCTTAAAAGTTGATAGTTGGTTATCTGTTTTTGTCTGAGGTGTACAAATATCTACTATACTTGTATCGTTAGATGTAGTTTCCTTGAAAGACCCTGTTTTCTCTCTGTGTGATGTATTAGCCTTATTACATAAATAAAACTAATAAATAGGCGGTGAACTAAATCCTAAGGGTATTATCAATACCCTCTAGTAATCAAATCGGTTATTACTTCGAGGTTAGTTCACTTGATTCATTATTACAAAAGTAAATCTCTGTTATCTAGTTTGCGAGTTTTATAACCATACATTAAACTTGATATGGCACGTAACGGGGGCCAGTATCTTTTATGACTTTGTCACCCGTAGACCTGACGGTCCAACTGTAGCTAGCAGCGAGGTGCAGGATAGTCAGTCCCGTATAGATCTATACACAATAGTCACACTCTCCTTCCAAGAGATTCTGGTTACAAGGGTTAGTCCTACACTCTCGAATCCGGTGGAGTGTTACCAAGGACGTGTCTCCAACTTAAAATAACAAATTTACAAGTAATAATACCGAAAATCCTGTTTATGTTTTGTATAAATCCTTTATAAAATATCACATTTTATGACAAGATTTACAAGTTCCTTGCTTTAGTTTTGAAAACTGTTTCTACGAGTTGATTTCTTAATCGTTTGGTAAAACGGTTTTCTGTGTTAAAAGCATGCTGAACATATAATTATTTTATGCAAAATAAGATAACTTGAGCACAAGTTTCCTTGTACTTTTGCTTGTATTCTCCCCCTGAAAACATGAAAACTCGGAAAAGCGTAGGGGTATGAACTCACTGTTTGACGTGGGATTCGAGTGTAAGTTGCTAGGAATTTCTGAGTGTCAAATAAAGCCTCGAGCACAAACGGATCCTATTTAGCATGTAAAAGTATATATATACATTAGGTGAGGGCATAACACTATTTGTTATGGAAGGAAACCACCTTAGGGACTAGGAAACACTTAAAACTAAGTGTTAGAATCACATGTGATTGAAGAGGGGAGTTTGCGGCCGTAATCAGGAGTGTACGGTCAAGGGTTTGCGGCCCAACAGAATTTACAGCCCATATGTTTCCGGCCCAGGTGTTTGCGGTCCATGGGTTTACGGCCGTAAACACTTGGCGAAAAGTGCGATTTTCGGTGTTTCAAGGTCCTTTCTAGCCTTCTGGAAGTGTTCTAAGCCTCGCTTCTAGGCTTAGGAGGGTGTTGTGGCAACTTTGCACCACATAAATAGAGTTTACGGTCAAGGGAGATTGCCTTGGCCGTAAAACACCCTTCTGGTCACGATTTCTAGATGTTTAACAAGTGATTCTTGTATCCAACAAGCTAAGGGTAGTGTACTTACGTAGTGGAAGCTTGAAATGAGTTTTTTAGCCACCAAGAACTAGTGTGTGTTCTTGGTGTTCTTGGTGAGAGAGAAAATCTAGAAAGAGATGAGATTTAGGAGATGAGACATGGATTCATCACTAGAAATGGATTTGTAACAACATTCAAGGTGGAAAAACACTTACTTCTTGAAGATCTTGGAGGGAAATCGAAGTTTGTAGAGAGAGAGAGAGATAGAGAGAGAGAGAGAGAGTAGAGAGAGAAAGCTGCTGGAGTGTGTAAAGTGAGAAATGAAGGCCACTCATCCCTTATATAGGGGTGAGTTTACGGCCAATGGGGTAGGGTGGAGGGTTTACGGCCGTGAACAGGGTTTACGGTCGTAAACAGGGTTTACGGCCGTAAGCTTCTTTCGAAGGGTTGTTTGGCCCGGATGCTATGCTTTGACTTAGAAAACATTGTTTTCGAATACGAAACTCGATCGAACTGAGTTTAGAATATTCCGTTAGACCAAAAATAATACTAACGTGAACGGAAATAAATCAATTCGGATTTATTTAAAACGTAAGGTCCTTCCCAAACTAAGGAATTTGACGGAATTAACTAAAACCCAAATTTTATAAACTGAAACTGGGTAAGGATAACGGAAAAAATTTCGGGTTGTCACAGTGGGGTGCCATTTATTGCCTACAATTGAGAGAGAGAGAGAGAGAGAGAGAGAGAGAGAGAGAGAGATGTACCGTTGAAGATTGTCACAGGCAAAGAAATAGGTTGAGGGACGGTATTTGCAGTCAACAATATCTGCCGTGCCGTCGGAATGCCGACGGCAAAATACAATCTAACAAACTATCAAACACTTCATAATATATATTTTATGCATTTATATATTTATATTTATAAAAAAGTTTTTTTTAATTGGTCAATAGTTCAATTCACATACGTTATAAAAGGACATCATTTTAGCCGCATACGCTACTTGAGGTTGAGGGTTCAAGTTCCGTCGCGAACATATGTGTAATTAAGAAGTAAATTAGATTTGTCGTTCAAAAAGAAAATTCAATATTTTTTCTTTTAATAATAATTTTTAGTTGACGGGTTGGCTAACAAAATGTCTATGTTTAACTAGGAGTTTCTAATTAGGAGGTTTTGAGTTCAATCCCAAACAAATACTAACTCTGCTGTTCAAAAAAATATATATATACTCCTACTTTTTTCTTACTTGTCTTATCCATATAAAATGATGTCGAATGTATCAAATATTATTAATTTTATTATTAAATTGTAATATTTGTCGCCATTCAAATGAATTAAAAAATGAATAGAAAGAAAATGTGGGATGAATTTCTTTATCCATTTTTGAATGATTTCACAATTTCAACCCACATAAGAATAGGATGTAAGACGGCTTCGTTTTGGCCCACTTAGGTTGCTAACACAAACCAAGCAACCGTTAGGACGGGCTATAGAAAGTAACATTGGATTTCCTTTGATAACAATTATCAAATTTCAGAGTATTTTCCAAGGTTCTAAATACAGAGTATTTTCCAATGTTCTAAATAACGTAAGGCGTGACTTGGCGGCAATGTCAAACCTCAAGTTTTTCCAAGCCTTGGCGAGTCATGACGTTTGTAAGGCGTGACTTAAGGCGGCAATCTTCTATATAATTAATATTTTTATATGTATTTTCAACAATTATTCATTTTTATACACATATATGAGTTAAGACGGCGTTTTAGCAAAGCTTGGCGGCAAGTGCAAGCCTTGGAGCCGTGGCGCGCTATGGCGAGCTTTTTAGAACTTTGGTATTTTCTGCACAATTTAAAAAGCTAATTATCAAATTATGACGTTAAACTGGTTTAACTATATACTAAAATTTTCTCACAAAAGATTTTTTTTTTTTTTTTTTTTTTTTTTGAAACTTCGATGTAAACTTTTCAGCAAAAATTTATGGTTTTTCGCTGATTTATAATTTCGAATCTGCGACAATTTTGCATAGCTGTCTTTGGTTAATGGGACCTACAGATTCAATTACCAGTGGGTACATGGACCCACCGACTAATATATATGTAATGTAAATTAGGACGGACATCATCACAGATTCACATCTAGAAAACGTCAAAGAGTGGTAAGAGATGGGGAAAGACTTGGCGATGGATGATAATAATGATTATGAAGTAGTGATAATTGGGGCGGGGATTTGTGGATTAGCGACGGCTGTGTCTCTTCAGAAAAAGGGAATTAAAAGCGTAGTGATGGAGGCATCGGAATCTCTGAGGAACATCACCGGAGCAGCAATCACAATCCACCAAAATGGTTGGCGAGCTCTTGATCATCTGGGCGTGGCTGATACCCTCCGTCGCACTACCATACCTATTCAAAGGTACCTCATACTTTTCCTCTCTTTGTGTTTTGGATATATAATTTGATGAATACATTATTCTAAGAAATTTATCTCCAAATAAATTTAAAACATTTTAGAGTAAGCTACAGGAAAGGCCCCTGTGTTAAGTCAACGTTTTTGGATCGTGTTCCTGATTTTTTTATTTTTATTTATTTATTTTAATATCGTTACGGCGTTTTCAATGCCACTCAAAAGCTCATATTTTACATTATTTTGATGTCCCCACTTTATTTTTTAACTCCATTTTAGTACATATTAGAAGTAGGGTCCCTTATTCCATAAGATTACAAAATATATACAAACAATTTGTTACAGGAAGTCCCTAAATAATTAATAGCAAAGATGACAACTTCCAAAATACAAACAAATCTATAATATATATATATATATATATATATATATATATATATATATATATTTACATATATTCTAAATATCTCAATATATTATATCACACCCTCATAGTAGGTAAACGGACGGTGAGACTGCGATGGAAATCTTCAAAATGTACTAATGTAAGTCCCTTTGTAAAAACATCCACAATTTAATATCGAAAAGGAACACGGAACACATGAACCTAACCACGAGAGATTTTTTCACGGACAAAGTGAAGGTCAAGTGCTTGGTACATTGATGATGAACCGGGTTACATGACAAATATATTGCACTAACATTGTCGAGATAAACTAAGATTGTTTTCTGACTGAGACAATGCAACTCGAAAAGCAAATTGTGTTACCAACATGACTCGGAGAACATGATACTCCAAAAGCAAATTGTGTAACCAACATGTCGTTTGGCCAACCAAGAAACCAAATTATCCCCCAGAAATTAAAGATGCATTACCAAGAAGTGGACAAGAGACACTAGAGACAAACACCCTACCCAGTCCACGTCATGAGTATAGGACAAGAGATTAGAGACGAATTGACAGACATAAATGTAACCCATAATGAAAAATGACTTTAAGATATCATAGTATATCCGTTTAAGAGCATGCATGTGTATTTCCTGTGAGTCAAGCATGAAAAAGCACACCTGTTGTACTAACATATGTAATGTCAAGATGAGTAAATGTCAAATATTGTAGTGCCCAGCCAAGCTACGATAATATGGAGAGTCCGAACATGGTGTGCTTGCTCTCACAAGCACTGAGCTTCGATAGTTCGATTTGGTATCAAACAAAGTTGGGGACGGTACACGAGGTCATCCTAACATGTTCAATAATCTCAGTAACATATTTTTGCTAATTTGAAAATAAACGTTGATTAGTAGAAAGGTGGGTATAAATATAATGAAGAGTTGACTCGTTTGTTGGTGGATAAATGGTGTGGTGAGGTTGCGTTAATTATGTCTTAAGTTCCCAATGTTGTTTGCGGTGGTGGCGGAGGATCAATAGTGTCATGTTAGTGATTATCGGTGTAGAGGAGGGACATACATGGAGGCACTACAGATGAACAGCGGGGTTTGTTGATGGAGTTGTTAGAGTCAATCAACTTGGATACCAACGATATGTTATATGTAATGTGGATCCTCATGGTATTGACATGGATTCGGTTTTATGTCCTTGCACTTGTTCTTACAGTGTCAGATGGTGGTGCAACTTTGGAGTCGGCTTGCTGCTTGGGTCGATGTGTTGATTCCTTCTTTTAGTAATGTGCAAAGTTTGTTTATGTGGATTGATGGACAGACAATTGCTAATTCCGGTCGAGATGTGCTAGATACGGTTTGTTGCCCTTTCATATGGGTCATTGACAGATATAGCTAGGAAAAATAATTTATTTGATTATATTGTGTCTTTTTTGTTTAGTTGGTTCTCCAATAGGAATTGTAAGCTAGGATAAAATGATATGCGTGGATGCAATAATCAAAATCCCCATATATAACTTTTTTTTTTCTTTTTTTAAATCAGCTGTTCCAAAGGATGCCTAAGAATTTTGTTAACTCGTGATATTTTACCGCAATATGATAATCTTCATGAATTAACGGTACTCCCCGGTCTGTGTAGTGAACGAATGGTAGAGCTCGATGGGTGGAAACAACAGAAATCCTCAATGTAATTTACTCTAGATATATTAAAACATTTTGGTCATTTTTCAAAACTTCAAAAAATATCACTCAACGCAATTTTTTATCGTTTGTTTATTGATGTACAATAGAAAAGGTGAAACTCGTTGCTTGAGGAGGAAGGATCTTATCGATACTCTTTACGCTGCACTTCCTCCGGCCACCGTCAAGTTCGGATGCAAACTTGAATCTATAAAATTTGACTCAAAAACTACCAAATCAGTTCTTCAATTCAACGATGGAAGCTTCATCATCGCCAAGGTCGTAACTTGATTGAGTAGAAGAACTACAATTAACCAGTTTTAATGGCAGTTCTGAATCGATTCTGGTTCGCCGTTTTTGTGAGTACTGATAGTAGTTCTTGGTGCTCGTAGGTCGTCATTGGCTGCGAAGGAGGCACGTCAATCGTTGCCAATTTCCTTAATCTCAAAACTACCAAGATGTTTCCATTTTGTGAAGTTAGAGGCTTATCAAACTACCCCAATGGCCATTCATTCGACTATGAGTTTACCCGTTTCAGGAAAAACAACAATCTAGTCGGAAGAACTCCAATCGACGATAAGTTGGTCTACTGGTTCTGTACGCAACCTCTCATTCCTGGAGGTCGTTTTTGCCACGTTTACATAAAATTCACTTTATTTGTTCTTCGTTTACTTATCGTGTTTCGTTTTTTGTTCAATTATGATAACAGATGAAAGAAGTTGGGAAGATCCTGAGTCAATACGGAGATCAACCCTAGCGTTGCTAAACGATTATCCTCAAGAAATCAAAAAAATGATCGAAATTGCAGATGCAAGTTCGTTGTCTTTTTCACATTTAAGATATCGTTCACCACTGGAGTTGCTAACGGGATCATTTTGTAAGGGAAAAGTGACGGTTGCTGGGGACGCTATGCATGTGATGGGTCCGTTTCTAGGGCAAGGTGGCTCATCAGGGTTAGAAGATGCAGTTGTGATAGCTAGCAACTTGGATCAAAAGGGTTTGGACCATGTTGAAGATGCTTTTGATCTGTATGTGAAAAAGAGACGAATGAGGGTGGTTGGATTATCGGTGCAGACTTATCTCACTGGTATGCTATTGGGAGCTTCATCGAGTCTGAAGAAATTTATGTATTTTGTGCTATTGTCTCTTCTCTTTCACAATCCGAGTGGTCATGTTGATTATGATTGTGGTGGTGTTTGATGTATAATCGAATCTCTCTTCGTAATGAATTACGACTCTCTAAGGAGCCACGTGTCCCCCTTATAAACCACCATCAATCCACGTGTTCTTTCACATTTTTCCGTCCCTGCTATCAAATAACGAATATCAAAAGTCAAATTTCAAAAGTCAAACAAAATCAACATGATAATAAAGGATATCATGATCATCTCCTACTAATTAACAATACCTTATTTCAATCAATCTTTTTGAATTTTTTATCTTTTACCAAATATATCTGCATCATTATATAGTATTGAACCAATTACCTATTTAGTTATTCTCTAAAAAAATCATCATATTTTTGTTTTTTAAACAAAAATAATTAATATAATTTGTTTTTTTTAACCCAAACATATAACTATTTTTAAAATATTTTTGCAAATTTATGACTAATATTACGTTTTCTAAAATTTCAATTTTGTTTTACTTTGTCAACCGTGTAGCACATAGGTTATAACCTAGTAATAATCAAGCACAATAATCAAAGGAGAGGAGATGTGGAAGTGATGGATAAGATTTTTTTTTTCATAAACACAATGGCCTTGACACAAAAATTCAGAAATAAAAAATAAAAATTATATATAAGTTAAGAGGTTGGCTAAAAAGACAACCTATTTTTCCATATAAACACCTTATAAACGTTTTATTCAAAGTCAACCTATAATTAACTTATTTATAACTTACTTTTTTAGAAAATAATTCAAATTCAACCAATAAAAATATTTTAAAAACAAAATAGGGTGTCTAGCGTGTCAATTTTTACTTTTTCAGAAAATAATTCAAATTCAACTAATAAAAATATTTTAAAAACAAAATAGGGTGTCCAGTGTGTCAATTTAACGACACTCATAAGTTAAATACCAAAAAATAGAATCATCTGATTGTTTTCTTTGTACAGTGTCATTCTACTAATTGTTTAAGGGAAAATACCGGCAATAGTAAAAAAATAGGGGGTAATTTCAAAATTTAGACATGAAAATGGAAATTTCCAGGTATAGACATGCATTCCGCCGAGCTCCGCGGAATGTACTGTAGCTCCGCGGAATGGATCTTAAATTTTTTTTTCACATCGTTTCTTCAGGGTTTATATTAATTCCACAACTAATTATTTTCAAAAAAAATTATGATAGTATGATAATCTTTGCTTGAAAATAATTAGTTGGAGAATGAATATAAACCTTGAAGAATCGATGTGAAAAAAAAAAACTGAAGATCCATTCTTCGGAGCTACCTCCGCGGAATGAGTTCATTCCTCGGAGGTAGCTCCGTGGAACGGATCTTGAGGTTTTTTTTATTTTATTAATACACTCATTTATTTACGATTTTGCCATTCCGCGGAGCTACAGTAGATTCCGCGGAGCTCCGCGGAGCTACCTCCACGGAATCAATGTCTATATCCGGAAATCCAATTTTTTGTGTCTATTTTTTGAAAATACCCCCCATTTTTTTACTATTGTCGGTATTTTCCCTTGTTTGTAGATATGCTTTCCTTTTTACTCTCAAATTAGGATAGACTGTATCCCAAAAAATCAGCATGATTTATTGTATCCAAAAAAATCAAGAATTCCTATTCCCTGTTAAAAATTCAAAATTTTAATGCTAGCTCCTCTCTATCTCATCTCCTTCTCTGGTACTACAGATCTCAGATCTCCATCTTTACTCCTCAAAGCTACAAATGAATCTCTCTCACCTCCACCCACTTGGAAAACAACACTTTTTCTCACCTCTTTCACCCATTTCTCTCTTTTCCATTCCACTTTATTTCCTACAATTGAAACACAATGGGTGGAGGGCATCGCTGATGACCTGTAGACCATTAGTTTCAGCTCAATTACCACCAACATTGCTATAGACATCACCTATAACACCATATTCGCCTTTGAAACCAGTTTGGACAACAACTATGTAATCCACTCTGTAAATTATTGTATTTAATTTCTCAGGGGAGTCTATGGATTTGTTGCCTCTTTAGTTATTTTACGGATTTGAGAACCTTAAATTTGTTGTTTTCTTCTTAGGTTATATGAGGGTGTTTGGGAATACTTTTTAAATAACTTTTGCCTTTTAACTTTTCTAAAAAGTTATAAAGATGTTTGGAAGATGCAAAAGTTCTTTTCAAAATAACTTTTTGTAAAGAAGAAAAGAGTGAGTTTTCAAAAGTCAAGAAAGTGTGACTTTTTGTAACTTTTGGACTTTTAAAGCTAAATCATACTCAAAAGTCAAAAAATACTACCCAAACACTTTTTAAAACCCACTTTTGGCTTTTGTTTCCTCAAAAGAACTTTTAGACTTAAAAAGTAATCCCAAACACCCCTATATACAGTCAAATGGGCTTACGGTTTCATTACGGGTTGATAAAACATGCAACCCATGTGTTCGACGAAATGTCTCAAAGATACTTAGATGGCTGGTCTATCTGTTTAAACCCTTCGGTCGACACAATTACTACAGAAAATTTCAATCGAGTTTAGACTAGCCTTCACAAATTTAAGTGTATTTTTCCATGTTCTTTTGCCAGGTTATAAGAAGGAATAGCCTACACACAGTTAAAGCACTTAACCAGCCAGTAGAGCACGTTAACTGCAAATTCGTATCAGTGTGTTTTGTCGAATATTGTGTATAGGTATTCATTTTTACTCATTTCATGAATGTTTGATACAAACAAGTATAGATTTCCATTATGTTATAATTAAATTTAACTAAATTTGTATAACTATGTTTATACAATTTAACAATGCTTTAAGGTTCTAATTTATAACAATTTTCATAGTCTTTTTTAATTTAGCATCGGTAAAAACAAATGTAAGTTTCATCTATAATGGATAAAAATAATGTACATTGTCCAAAGTGGTCGGAGTGGCTATCTGTGGCAAAAACAAAATTAGTATGACAACATTGTAGTCGGTGGTTACCCGTTAATGTTATGTTGTTTGATTTATATATCAATGCAACATCAAGGATGGCAACATTGTTAGGATATTTAGACATTTTGAATTGATTTTGAGACATTAGATTTCTTTATAATGTGATCAGGGGCGTAGCTAAATGTATTCTAGGTGGGTCCTAGGACCTACCTAAATTCTAATATCTTATTGAAATTATATATAAATTTATATTAGGACCTACCTTATTGTATTGAAAAATATAAATGATCTATCTAATTCCGTATGAGGAACCACGTAACTTTTTGTTCTATATTCGCCACTGAATGTGATGATGATAAATTTTTGTTAGCATGGAATTTAATTCCAATAAACTTGGTCTTTCTTTTCACTTTAAGGAATATTACAATTACTTATTAACGACTTTAAACAAAGTGTTTTTGGCTGTAAATACTCTACATTTTTATGCATTTATTTTGGTTCCTTTTATATATAATATAAGTAAACAAGTTAAACGATAGATTACTTGCAAATGGATTTAAACAAAGTTGTGGCTTTAATTACTCTGATTTTTTGTGTATTTATTTCATTCATTTGCAAGTTACAGTATTACTATATTACTATTTAATATTTGCTATTCATTGTATTTTTTTTATCAATACTTTGAATTGTTTATTTTGTTATATTACCAAGCTTGCCATTGCTCAAGATATGTAGGTACCCATGTTTATATACCTATGCCATGTGCTTCTATTTATTAAAGTGCCTTAGTTTTATTATAATTTCTTATAGTTTTCTTTCTTGTGTTTTATTTACATAAATCTGATGGACCATCAAAGGGGTATTTGTTTTAAAAGATGTTACTCAAATGGGTTAAAGTTTGTTGTTATTTCTATATATCTTCTCAAATTTGATCACCGTTTTACATGATTATCAAGTTTGTTTATCGTGAAGCCTTTCTGTAAGTGTTACCTACCTTCTTGCCAAGTTTTGGTTGTTTTTTAGGCTTAATGTGAAATCTGGTGTATAAAATATAACATTTTATATTATTTGTAATAAATTTTAATGTTAATTTTCATTTGTAATTTCTTATACTTTTATTTCAACAACTTAATTTTTTGATTTGCGATATAACAATTTTAATTTACTTCACTTATTGTGGTTGTTTTATTTATATAATCAATCTAACATTTCATTATACAATATCATTATTTTTTTTCACATATTTTGTTTGAATCAATGATTATAATTTTACATAAAAAAAACATAAATCTCTTAGTTAATAATTTATTGAAAATAATTAATTAATAATTATGAGTAACTATAAAAATTTAATTATTTTTGTAACCACCCACAGGCTATAACCTAATAATTATTATATATAAGTTAATTACCAAAAAATAAGAATCAAAAGGTTCAGTTTTGTTTTTTTCATGATTAGTTCTGGGATCCGTTCCTCAAAAGACAAAAAATTGTATTTTGTAAAATGGTCCATAGAGTTAGGATTTTTTTATGGTTCTCATCCTTAAAGGTCAAATTGAAAAAATATCATTGTGGTTTATCAAAACTTGGAAGTTGGAAACAACTATGAAAAAGTCTATTATGTGTTTGGTTCATATGGTTTCATTTGTAGTATGGTTGCTCATCACAACCTCTTGAAACCCACACAAAAACCAAAGATTGCTTTTTGTCGTTTACCAAAATTTGCATGTTGTATTTTTACTCCAAATTTTAAAAACGGAAAGCACATATTTTTCGATCGAGAGAGGAAAAGAAAGATCCCATCGGGGAGTAGCAAATCATAGTGACCATTCAATCAAAAGATTAGAAGATAAAACTCCTTGTCTGTTTTATACTTTCCCCCTCCTATCGTGACATACTTGAGATCCTCATTATTGTCGGCGAAGACAACTGTCATCATTGGTTGCCTTTGACAGTTATATTAATCTCAAACGAAATCTATTAAAGAGCATTTATGGGGGGAATACAGGGGTAAAGAAATGAGCAACAACATGGGAAAATATGAAGCTCATGGAGAAGTGACATACCTTGAGGTCTTTGAAATCATGTGGTTGCGTTCGAGAATAGTAGAACAAGAAAGAAGTGAGTTGTAGTAGAGGGATGTATGCAGTAATGAATTTTTAAAGTATTATCTTTAATTTTTAAAGTGTTATCTTTAA